GTATAGCTTTTTAGTAAAGCCCATCATTCTAGTGTTTTTAAAAAGAGAAATGAGGCCTTTAAAGAAAAGAATACAGTCCCTATAGTCAAACATGGCTATAAGGTTCACTGATGTTTTGGGGTTGCTTTGCTGCTTCAGGCACTGGATGTCTCAACCATGTGCATGACGTTATGAAATCTGAAAACTACCAAAGAATTCTGAGGTCTAATGTAGGGCCCAGTGTCAGAAAGTTGGATCTCCGTCAGAAGTCATGGGTTTTATAGCATGACAATGATCCAAAGCACCCAGAAATGTTTCAGATAAAGTGCTGGAGAGTACTGAACTGGCCAACAATGAGTCCATAGTGCAGCTGTGGAGAGATCTCAAAACAGCAGTTGGGAAAGAACCCTTCCGATCAGAGACCTGGAGCAGTTGGTAATAGAAGAGTGATCCAAAATTCCAGTAGGAAGGTGGAAGAAACTCATTGATGGTTACAGGAAGCTAGTGATTTCAGTTTTTTGAGCAGTATACACAAGGAGAGAAGAGCAGTGTATACAGTGAGGGAGCAGTGTGTACAGACAGGCTTTCTCACTTTCTGGCACTGACTGTCTTTGCCGGCTTTAAGTGTAATTGGTGGCTCTCCCTTTTTTTTTTTTTTTCTTTGTTTACTTTTATCGTGCTGGAGAAGAAGCTGTCATTTGGCCCGATGACCCCACCCCACTTCAGTGGTGTGGCCAAATGACAGCTCCTTCTCTAGCACTATAAAGTAAGGAATAAATAGAAGAGGGCAATTACATTTAAAGTGAGGGAGCCTGTCTGTACATACTGCCCTTCATGGTATACACTGCTCTTCTCCTCTCCTGCCTCTTTCCTTGCACAGACTGCCCCCCCCCCCGTAGCTGCATTCAGTCTGCCATATTTTTTTTTCTTTCTTTTTACTCTCTGCTGTCAGCGGGAATGCCTGCTTATAGCAGAGATGAGTCGCTGGTCATTAGGGCGCTGGCGGCTGCCAGCTCCTAACAACCAATGCAAAAACAGACCGCTTGTCCATTTACATTTGTTTTTCTTCCATTCCTTTTTTTTAACAGAACCAAAATAGGGCTTTGATATGTTAAAAAAAAAAAACCAAACTGATATGGACGGATACAAATGTAAAACGGATGATCATCTGTTTGTTCATAGGAATGCATTGTTGTCCATTTTTCATCCATCAATAGACAGATGAAAAACAGACATACGGAACATCCATTTGAAAGGAGCCTAAAGCCAAACTCCATGAAACCTAACAACCCTACCTTACAGTGGGGCTGTACCTGCACTGCAGTATTTGACTGGTGGGATTTAAGGGACGTTGGCATAGGGGACTGTGCAAAGCATTTTTACTTACCGGTCCTGTTCTCCTGCAGGCTCCTCTAGACTGCTAAACAATCTCTTTGCTGTGATTTGTCAGTCTATGGTCCTCTCAGGTCATCAAGACTGATGCAATTGTGGTACAGGCTTTTCATTGTTAAAATAAGTGGCAAGAAGGTTACACATCGGCTTCCAGCCACCTTTCAATCCCTCTTTGAAAAGGGATCTCACATATTGCTTTTCAGAAAGGCGGCAAAGGATGCCACTAGTGTAATCAAGCCCTTAGAGAGCTCTTCCATCTCTACCAGTCCTGACAAAAATTGGAGAAACTCTCCATAACAGAGATACAAATGGCAACACAAACCTAACAAAGGCTGTACCCTTTTATGTGGTTATAAATACTACATTTTTAGTTGTATAAGGTTTCAACTATCTAGATTTCATTGTTGTATGTCTCTTAAGAGGGTGACTTTCACCTCTGCTTTCCCTGTGCAGTTGACAGGTGTCCCAACAGGAGACAAGAAATATCCTCAGTGGGGCACTTACAGCATTTTATCCTGTTCCTGACTCAATCCAAGACTAACTAGTTTGTATTTGGTCTTTACTTGGTTTGCAGGTTCATGTTGCTAATTGAGAAAATAACATACATACCAAAGTGATAGAAAACATTTAAGTAACTTGGTGTAATAGCATCTGCAGTGAAAGAAGTAACTATTTCAACATCAGTCCAAGCCAGCTGGGGAGCCTTCTTATCACAGCTATTTTATGCCCTAAAGTTGCAAATTTCTAGAGTTTGAAGTGTATGTAAACTCTAACAATGAGCTTTTCTCACTTTGCTCCCTTTTACTCTATTAAAGTGATGTTAAAGGTTACATTTTTTTTAGACAGACACATAGTTACCTGCTCTGTGCAGTGGTTCTGCACAGGTCAGCTTTGATACTCTTCTTGAGTTCCCCACTTGACACTCCTGGCTACTCCCCCTTAACCAGTGCCCCCAATAGCAAACTGGTTGCTATGGTGGCACTGGTGTGTGCTCGCTCCCGAGCCCTGCTCTACGCATCCTTAAGACAAATAGAGTCGAGGCTCAGCCCTGCCCCCCTCTCTCTCCTCACTGGCTGAGATTGACAGCAGCAGTAGCCAATGGATTCCACTGCTGTGTCTCAGCCAATGAGGAGGGAGAGACCAGAGATAGTCGAGGCTCCTGTGCACATTGCTGGATCGAGAGGGAGCTCAGGTGAGTACAACCCCTTGGCAACCACTTTAAATATACCATTCAAAGTGTGATGTTAATGTTGGTTCGATACGAATAACAAAATTATTTGATCTTTCCAGAAATTTAATGCTGTCTTGTGCATGCTGTGGAGTTATCTTAAGCAAGCTTATCCTCCCTGCGCAGGTTAACTCTGTACACTACAGAACACCTCCGCCCAGTGTGGTCCTATCACACTTTCTTTCCTAGGGTGACAACACTGATTTCTCTATAGATAAAGTACAAAGAGTGAGCTTTGTCATCCTATGTCCGGAACTAAGAGGGATAAAACAAATTGCAGTTGCCACATCTAGGAACTGATAAACTGCAATGTATTACATATTTTGTACTTTGGTTTTGATAAACCTTAAGGTGAGGCTGTCCTATGCAGAGAAGTAAGTTTGCTTTAATTTCCTTGTAAAGCTTTTGTTACCCAGCATGCGTAAAGCATGGGTTCACTTTAAGGCTTACATTTATACTACTGTCCTCAAGCCTCACTGAAAAATCATGCTTTGTGAACATGTAAATTGCTGTGCTTTGCATGGCAACCAATTAGCTTCTATCTTTCATTTTCAAAGCTTAAAGTGTTACTAAACCCAGGACCCTACATTCATTCTATCATTCTGTCTTCCACAGTACACAGAAAATGGAAATGCATTTATGTTAGTAACTATAAACTGCTAAATACCTTTCTGATCATCAGTTAGAGCAGTCTTGTGACTTCTATCAGTGTTCAGCAGAGCACTGGTTAAAGCTTGTTGAGAGGCGTTTTTTCTGCTTTAGCAGGATGCGGAACCCCTGACCTCTGTCTGGTCAGTGCTGATTTGCCCTGTGTTGATCACATGCACTCTCCCAAGGAAAAAAAAAAAAAACCTCTAGCAATACACACCAAACTGAGCATGTGCAGAGTGTCTCCACGCCATATATCTTATCAGGAGATAAGATGGGAGCACTGGTAGAAGGGGAGGTTCAGAGAAGTCAGAATCAAACTGCATTTTTACACAATGTAGAGGATTAATCCCTTAGGTTCCCACAGTGAGTATAACAAGCATGCTTTACTGCGTATATAGACAGATTTTACTGTTGTGATGTTTAGTAACACTTTAACTGAACAAGTTGAACATAGAAGCTGATTGGTTGCCATGCACCTCTGCTCCAGATTCGTTCTGCTCCAGTTTTGATAAATCTCCCTGATTGTGACTTCATCTTTGCACTGTGGGGTTACCTTAAAAACGAGCACTAGTGATGGGATTTGAAGATGGGTTTGGGAAATTATGCTTTCAGACAAAGTAAAATCTAATGGCAGTACCGTTTCCTATTTTCATGGGAAATCTAGATTGTACTCGTAAGAGTAGGGCCCTCTTACCCCTCGTACGCTGTCTTCTTTGTTGTACTGTGCCATGTATTGTCATTGTACAGCGGAGCAAACCCTTTGCTATATAAATAGTAATCTGTTCTGAGCTAATATGAGACACCTAATAGATGGTTAACACTACATTTCAGAGAACAATAACTGGACAGTTCAAAAATCCACCCCATGGTACACCGGGGTAGTGCAATTCACTTGGCTGTAAGAATTAATTTGGCTACCTTGTTAAAAATAACAACTGAGCAGAGTGGCTATACAAAAAGCTACCTCAGAGAAACCTATAGGGTTCATGTCAACAGGCATCCTAGGTAAATGATGCATTTCACCAATCCTCTTCCAGGACAATAACCTGAGAGATGATTGGCTCCTTCCTTTACAACAGTGATCTCAAAACTGCGGCCCATGGGCTGGATGTGGCCCTTTGCTTTCCTTTTATCTGGCCCTTAGGGCATATTCCTTCCACTGATCCCAATAAAGCAATATATTCTTCCCACTAATACCAATAATGAGGCACTATTCATCCTCTTACTGCCCACAGAGCTTATGTAGTTTACCACCAAGTATGGGACATTTTCTATTCCCACTGGCCACGATCTGGCCCTCCTAAAGTCTGAAGAATTGTAAAATGGCCCTTTGCATAGAAAAATTGGAGACCCCCTGCTCTATAAGATACAAAAATGGTGAACAACCGCTCAACCATCCCCTGTCCCTCAGTTTTGATTGTTTCCCATCATTCAGAAGAAGCACATTTATTTTGGGAAATAATTTTGTTTACTATTTTTACGAAATTGACTAACACACTGAAACACATGAATAAATGGACTTAGATTGTGTTCTTTTCCTTTTGTGTTCTTTTTTTTCCTTTTTATTTTTTTATTTGTTTTCTTCATGACATCACAACTATTACCTGCTGGAGTGTCTTGCTGGCCTCAGCAATTTGTTTCAGGCAATGGTTGTATGTATTATAAATATATAGAATATGATCATAGTGATTTTTCTGCATGTGTTTGGATTGCTAGTGTGTTTTAAACAAATTTAAATCCATTTTAACAGCTCAACCCTCATGTAAGTGCCTTTCAGAAAAGATTTGTTGGTGAAGTAAAGAAGTGTGAAGAGTTGGAAAGAATATTAGGTGAGTAGTCAAAAGATTAGTGTTTGGGTTTTGTGGTATGCTTGTACTACTTCTTTCTTTGTTTTGTGCTTGTATAAGCATGTGGATTGCGGCTTCACAGTCAGGAGGCCACTAGGCATGCCTGAGCAGCGCTGTGCTTTGTGAATGGTCCCATAGTCTTCTGGGACCTGTCACGTGTCCCTGAAGACTACAGGGAAGGAGGGGGGGTGGGGACTACAACTACCGCTTCCAATGGCAACAGAAGTGGGAGCAGATACCTGTCAAAATCAGGTATCTGCTTCCCAATACCCCCCCCCCCCTCCCAAAGTGGAGCTCCACTTTAAGGTTAATGTTCATATGAAGCCATTTATTATCACATAGTTGTTTGGCTCCTTTTTAAATCATAATAACATAAATCACCAAAATGGCCCTGATCATAAGTTTACATACCCTGGAATGTTTGGCCTTGGTATAGACACAAAAGGTGACACATACAGGTTAAATGGCAATTAAAGGTTAATTTACCACATCTGTGGCTTTTTAAATTGCAATTAGTATCAGTGTATAAATAGTCCAATGAGTTTGTTAGCTCTCATGCGGATGCACTGAGCAGGCTAGATACTGAGCCATGGGGAGCAGAAAAGAACTGTTAAAAGACCTTAAACAGGGTAATGGAACTTTATTAAGATGGAAAAGGTTATAAAAAGATATTCTGATTTAAAAAGGCACCAAACAACTATGTGATAATAAATGACTTGATATGATCACTATCCTTAAATAAAAGACCGTTTTGGGCATGATCAGTCTATATTTTCAATATGAAAATGCCAAAATTCCACAATTTCGGCCAGGGTATGCAAACCTTTGAGCACAACTGTATACATAATTAAAATTAGAAGGGAATATTTAAGCAAAATTCAAGAATGCCTGATCTTGCATAAGACTGGATGCAATGAATTATGATTTGCATTTAAAAAGGATCTGAACCCTTGAAGCTGTACCCAAAATGCAAAGTCACCAGCATTGCATGTGGGCGCACTGTAGCTGTTCATTTCTTTGTAACTACGGTTACTAGCTTTACCTTGTTCTGTGTCTTTGTTTGGGATGGCCATATTAGTAGAGGAGCAGGGCTTTGCTTCCTGATGTGAGAGCTAGCCCCTGATGACTGGTGGTCTAATACCTAATGGGGAAATGCTGGATAAGCAGCAGGAGAGGTAGAGGAAGCACAGATCCACAGCAACACTATACTGACATCAGAAAATCCCACTCCAAATCTTGTGAGACTAGCAGTTGCAGTCACAGTGCCTTTCACACTGCAGATTTACAATTATGAGGTTGTAGACACAGGAGTCCCTAGACTCAGCTGCTTACCAGGAAATGCTCTGCAATTTTTTTAGGAGGAATTCATGACAAAAGGTACATTTTCTGGGTACTGCTTAGGCATAATTAACAGCTCTGTTTCCTGTAACAGCTAATCTCCACTTTTTGAGTTAATGTCCACTTTAAAGAGACATTATGATCACTTTTCAGTATACTCCTATCATGATAATATATAAAATTGGCAACTGCTGATGCTGACCATGTTATAGCAATTTGTAATGCTTTTGCTAAGTAATGGAGCAATAGTTTTCTTCAATTCAGAGGCTTTTGATGACACACAGCCTTGCTATTCACTTAAAGCTCCATCCCCAGCCACGCAGCATGTGTTAATACACCACAACAGGCCAGGTAGAAGAACATAGTAGAAGATGAACAAGGGCAACAAAAAGTTTATTGCAACTCTACAGTGCCGTCCACGCTTCACAAAACCATCTTCATTTTCTACATGCTCAAAAATACTGAAAAATATAGCTAGTTGGACAGCAACGTACGTGATATAAATATTCTTCAGGTAAACCATGCCATGTAACAATACATATACCATACCTGTGGGATCCCTCTAGAAGTTGAAAATCACTGCAGTAGATGCCACTACTACATTTGTCTACTCTTCTTTTGGTCCCGTGGTATGTGGTTTCACTACTGCATTGTGAACACAAGGTCAGCATGGGTGTCATACAGAGAATACTTTGCATTTTTTTCAGTGGATACAAAGCATTTTCTGATTGGACGAGATGAAAAGCATGAAGCCGCTATCATGATGACTTGGTCCTGGTATAAATGTTCACAGACGGTGATTGGCCTTCACATAAAAGTGATCCAAGCGGCTTCACAGCTGCCAAATCACTTTTACTGGGCTCAGAAGGGGCTCCTTCTCTGCTGCTGCGGCCCCAGCGGAACAGGAGAGCCCGGGACTACTGTAGGTAGTTGGATTGGCTGCTCACAAAGGAGATACAGGGACATCTGTTCCTCCATCTTCTCTATGACAAATGAAGCTGGAAATGACAAGTATTTCATCATTTCCAGCTTCAGTATTTGATCAGATGCTTTGAAGGGCGGAAGAGGGATCCAGTGGTGTAATAGACCTCTGATCTCTCCATAAAGAGTAGTTGTCACTGCCAAAGCTATCACAAGGGTTGTTGTTCATCCCTTGTTATAGCAATAAAGTTGAATGAAAAAAAAAATATTTATTATACACATTTGTGAGGTATCGCCAGAAATTTAGAGTGAAAGCAGTAATTCTAGTGCCACAGCACACATTTAACTCTAAACTGTAAAGACTTTTAAGAGTCGCCTATAGATAAGTTTATGTACCGTAGTTTGCTGCCATTTCTGTGTGTGCAGTTTTAAATCTTGACACGTTTTGTATCTGTTTACTCGGCACATCAGCTTTTTTGTGTTCTACCAAAAGTTGAGTATTATATTGTGTTTGTGTGCGCTAAAATTAATTTGTGTATTTTTACACTGAAAATTTACATTTGATAAGTAGCTGATCAAATATTGTGTGGCATAGAAATTTTCAACAACCATCATTTTATTATCAATGGTATCTGCTGTCAGAAAAAAGGAGATTCTAAGTAAGTTTCTAGCAAAATCATGCTGAGTTTAACATACAATGTATGTGAAAAATGTCAAAATTGCCCCCAAATGGCAAGCGGTAAAGGAAATGTGTGTACACACACTACAATACAATAATTTTCCTCCTCTCCTTGAGCCCTTATCAGGTTTTTACTACCATACGGGGCTTTGATAGAGTGCCCTCATTTCTTGTCCTGCTGACAACATTTTACCAAACAGGAAGTAAATGTAACTCTCCAACAGCAACGAAGACAGAAATTAGGAAGGTGTTCCTTTAGTGGAGTAGGGTAAGGCTCCATGTACACTGCAACTGATAAACTCATGTTTAGGAGCTTTTCTCCGTTTTTTTTTCAGCAGCCCCTGAACTCTCCCTAATGTTTTCCTATATGTCCATGTACACTATGTCATTTACAGTCATTTACAGGCAGTTGAGTTTACAGTCGTTTTTTTTTTTTTTTTGAACGCACCAAACTTGCATTCAGGGTAGATTTTATCAGCGTTCCAAACGCTTGTAAATGCGGCTAACCACGTTTATAAGCGTTTGGAACATATTTTTAATTCTTCCATTTCCAGATGCTGTCCAGAGCCTTTTTTCATCATGAAAAATGCATGCAAAAAGTTTTCCCAGTACTCAAATGGACCTGTTAGACCATACTTAGAGGTTTCGCATGAAAGAAAATATGTTAGACACTGCTGCAATAATTTCTGCACAGAAATGAGCTGGAACACATCCAAACATCACAAAAAAAAAAAGACAACTAATCTCAACAAACCCTGCTCTCTCTGCTTCTGCTCTCTCTGTTTCTCTCAAAATGTCTGAAATAGTTAATTTTTTACTGTTTTTCAGTGCATTCTGGGCATTTTGGAAGGTCTCCTGAGGTTATCTTTAAATAACGTTTCTAAATGCAAACGCTCATAAACGTGTAAACGCGTTATGCAAACGTGGCTAAACTGATGTTTTTTAACCTACGTTTTCCAGCAGTCTGTTTCCATCGTTCAGAAGTGTCCCATGTACATGGAGCATAAGGCTAGAACCCCTGCCAAATTTTAATCATGTCTTTGTCCCTGTTTCAGATTTTCCCTCACCTCTTGTCTGATAAAACCTTTGTCATCAGGAAGCAAGAGTAAATCTCACTCTTTTTAGCATTAAAGACATGGACTTTTAACCTTCCCTATGCCCTACAAAAATGGAAAATCCATTTTTTTTTTTGCCTTGAGTTACATTTTAGGATTTGTTCAGATAGGATTATATTGTGTCTTTTTTTTTTCTTTTTTTTGTTTTGTAATCTAAATAAAGCTACACAAGGAGAAGGCTTTCCAGTTCATACCAGTGACAGCAGACCATTTCCACATTTGTACAGGAATTTGTGCTGTGTCACATGAAAGTAATCCTTTACATAAAACAAAGTACAAATGTCTAGCTTGTTACAGTTAGTAAACGGATTGCTATGTGCTAATGTTTTTCTTGATGGAAATCACATGTTTAGTCATATCTTCTATAACAAGCGCATGTTCTCTTATCAGTAAAACTGCACATAGCAACCTCACCAAAGCAATTATAGATTAAGGAATTGTAGTCATTCACAGAAGCAAACTGGTAGTTTTCATTGCGTTTCTTTGTTTTTGCTTTTTGTTCTGTTTTTTTTTTTTTTTTTTTTTTTTACTCAATGGCTTATAGCTAGATTGGTGCAAATTTTTAAAGATTTCTTTTATTTTTATTTATTTTGCTTAAAACAAACTACAGTGTTCCCTCTGTCCTTATCTGTGATTTTTTTTTTCTTTTTTAATACTGTTCAGTGTGAATTAACATACTGTTGTTTGGATCTTGTACAAATGTGTTTTGCTGTCATTTTTGTCTTTTTGTTTTTTTACTTGTACCCAACTTGCTGTGTTTATTATAATTTAAGTTGAGAAAAATATTTCCATTTAAAACTCCTGATATATCTGAACATTTATCTATGCAGATAAATTTTGCATTCATTTTCTAGCCCTTTTCCATGGAGAAAAGTGAGTTATCTGAATGGCAAAACTCCACATATTAAAAGAAAAACTTTATATATGCAATTACTTTCTAAAGCCAAGGTATGTAGTGGTATTAAATGCAGGAACCCCTGTTATGTTTTGCTTAGCATCTGTTTTAAAATATGTATGCATCTGATTGCTCTTTTCTGCTTCCTATTTTAGAACTTGTTGGCAGAGAAAAAGACGAGCTTCAGTTAGCAGTAGTTTAATATAATTATTTTTTTGCCCTTCTCTACATCCGCTTCATGTCCAGAAAAGGTCACTTATGTATAGATTGCAGAAATTATCTGCTTATAATGGTGTACATAAGATCAGCCAATGGTGGCACCAGATTTGCTATGTTTTTATGGTGCCACCAATAACAGAAAAGGGGAACTGTTGGTTACCGTGAGCAATATGGCAATACTTTTTTGAAGTAAGCCACACTGAAGGACCGCAAAAAAAAAAAAAAAAAAAGTGTTGGCTTTGCTTTCACATTTTTTAAATCGCTTTATTTCATTTTGTGAAAGAGGAATTTACAGCTACATTTGCTAATCTAATGCGTATAATAGACCTTGAGAGGATTTAGTTCCTTTTTTTTTTTTTGGTAGAGTTTGGATTACACCCTACATTTGTTGTATAATGCTTTATGTGCCGATGCTCCTGGCTCCTAACTCCCCCTGAGTGCCCCAAAGCAAGTTGCATGTTGCATGCTCTGGGGGCACTTGTGCATGGTTGCTTTCGACCCGCCTCTGTGTATCCATATGATTTTCAGAGCCCTGCTCACTCCTTACTGGCTGTGATTGACAGTAGTGGGAGCCAATGCCTCCCGCGGCTGTCTCTAAGCCAATGAGATGTGAGAGCCTTGGCTCTCGTGCACATCTATGGATCAGGCTCAGATCGGTATGGGGGAGGCGCTGCGGTGGAAGTTGCACCCAGAAGGTTTTTTTTACCCTCTTGCATATAATGCATTAAAGTAAAAATAAAAAAAAAGCACTTTAATTATATTTATTCTACAACCTTTTAAATGTACTTGTTTATTTTGATAACAGGGTATCTGGTTCAGGAAATCAAGAAATCGGACATTCCAGTACCAGAAGGAAATATGTTGCCAGCAGCCCCCCTTCCAAAACATGTGCTAGAAATTCAGGTAATACTCACAGGATTGCATCATGTGCATTTATTTGTAAGCATCACAGGACGTATTGAAAGAGAAGGTTTAGGTCAATTACACCTTAATGCATTTAAAACCTAGCAAACAAAAAAAAAAAAAAAAAAATAAATATATATATATATATATATATGAAGAGACAATCATTAAGCAGCTAAATACAGATACCACACGGACAGAAAAATACCTCCACTGTGTATATACACAGTGTGTGTGTAATATATATATATATATATATATATATATATATATATTACACACACACTGTGTATATACACAGACACACGGAGGTATTTTTCTGTCCGTGTGGTATCTGTATTTTTAACTGCTTAATGATTGTCTCTTCATTTACTTTTTCATTTAACTAACTGACTTAATGTCATCTTAACAGCCTTAGCATTGTAGGCAAAAACAACAAATGAAATTGTAGTGCAAACAAATGCTAATACACCATCCATATAAGTAAGCCTCTGTCCCTCTAGATAAATGTGAAGATACAGTTGTGTAGCATAGGTAGTTCATAAAATGTTCATAAGGAGTTCATAAAAATTGCAAAGGAAGGGTGTTGCACTTCAATAGGCAGCTCCACCTGAGACCGGAACGAATCTCTGAAATAGCAAAAAGGAGTTCAAGGTGTGCCAGCTAAGTGCAGGGATCAAGGAGTTCTTACGATTAAAAGCCTAATGCAAACTCGCAGGATGTAAGATCAAAGTACTTATCTACAGCCATGCCACATTGGATGGAAGCCGTGCCCTGGAAGAGCTGCTTGTGACCGCAAACAGCATGTTGTCATTGAGCAAACCAAGTCCAATGTTTCAGGGAGTCAGGAGAGCCACTGTGGATGTCACGCCTGGGGTGGGCTGGTTGCTTCCATCAAATGTGGCATGGTTGCAGATTAGCTCTTTGGTTTTATATTCCTGTGAAAAGTATTGGGTGTGATAACAAGAAGTGGTGTCATCCCTATCAGAACATATATGGAAAGACCCTCTTTGTATGGGACTTTAAAGGCACAGACAAAACCAGTTATGTCATGGAAAAGATAAAAACTTGTTAGACCATGTTTTATTTATGCAAAATGTTAAAAGAAACATGTAAACACAAAATATGGCGGTAATACATGATGCCACTGTCACAGTAAATACATAAATGAGAAAAAAACAAGGAACAAATCATGTATGCACTTTACGCATTTCGAGACAGATAATAATCTCTTCTTCAGAAGTGCTTAGAATGCATTACACCTTTAATAAATATATAATTATTTCATATATCTCTAAGTAGGAGTTACAGTCTCAAGTGCATAAATTTCACTTACATAACCCCGCGGAGGGGCGGAGAACATGAGGAAACTGCCAATTGGCTAAAAGCATAAGTAGAGTAGATGTGGCCGATATCTCCAAGGTCCTCCCAAAATTAAGATATAAAGAAAAGAGGAAGAGGAACGTTGCCCCACTCGCTTCCTAGAGGAACCCCTTCATGGCCCCAAAGGGGCGACCATTAGGGATTACACTGAGGTAGCAGTGTATACAGAGAGACTACCTCACTGGCTGTCACAATGTCGGTGCCGATTTTTAAATGCAATTTCTGGCTTTTTTTTTTTTTCCCTATAGCTCACAGAATTAGCTGTCACTTTCCCCCCCAGTGCTAAAGGAAACTTTGTTTCTTTTATCTCGGGAAAGAAACTAAAAGGAATCTGTTTCTTTTAGCTGGGAGGAAAGTGACAGCTGATTCTCTGAGCTATAGTGAAGAAAAAAAAGCCGGTAATTACATTTAAAAACCGGCACTGATATACTATACAGTGACAGCCAGTCACTGTATACACTTCTCCTCTCCTGCCTTTCTCCGCCACCACCCCCCCTCACATCTGCAGTACACAAACTCCTGTATCGGCACCTGTAGTGGCTAAATATTTCCTATCGGCACAAAGCCGATAGGGCTATTTTCGGCCGATATGTGTTGGTGGCCAAAATTTTGGTGCATCCCTATCCCTAATGGTCGCCCTTTTGGGGCTGTGAAGGGGTTTCTCTTGGAGGCAAGTGGGGCAACGCTCTTTTTTTTTTTTTTTTTTTTTTTTCCCCTATTCTTTTCTTTATATCTTCATTTTGGGAGGCCCTTGGAGATATCGGCCACATCTACTCTGTTTATATTTTTAGCCAATTGGCGGTTTGCTCATGTTCTCCACCCCTACGCAGGGCTATATAAGTGAAATTTACGCAATTGGAATTGTAACTCTTACTTAGAGATGTATGAACATACGATAATTATTTATTTATTATAGGTGTCATGCGTTCTAATCACTTCTGAAGAGATTCTGTCTGTCTGTCTTGAAACGCGTTAAGTGCATGCATGATTTGTTCCTTGTTTTTCTCATTTGTGTTTTACTGTGACATTCACATCATGTATTACTGCCACATTTTGTGTTTACATGTTTATTTTAATATTGTGTATAAATAAAACATGGTATATAAAGTTTTTATCTTTTCCATGTAGTTTGGTTTTGTCTGTGCCTTTTTAAAGTCCAATAAAAAGAGGAATTCTCACCAAGCTGCTTGGCGATAGTTTTGTAGCCCAGACCAGCCTTATGTAGATCTACAATCTTGTCCCTGACATCCTTGGACAGCTCTTTGGTCTTTGCCATGGTGGAAAGTTTGGAATTTGATTGTTTGATTGCTCCTGTGGACAAGTGTCTTTTATACAGGTAACAAAATTAGATTAGCAGCACTCCCTTTAAGAGACTGCTTCTAATCTCAGCTTGTTACCTGTATGAAAGACACCTGGTAGCCAGAAATCCTGCTGAATGATAGGGGATCAAATACTTATTCCCCTCGTGAACTTGGAAAGCAGTGCATAATTTGTTAGACATGCATTTCTTTTTAATTTTTTTGTTGCTATTCTGTCTCTGTGTTACAATACATCTACCATTCAATATTTAGACTGATCATTTCTTTGTGAGTGGGCAAACATTCAAAATCAGCAGGGGATCAAATACTTATTTCCTTCACTGTACATGCCCACTGTTTCCACCAGGTTGCCCATTTTCAGGCCCTGAATCTGGTCATGAGACCTTAGGGAGATGGCTAGGGGTTCTGCTGCGTGGGATCTTTGCCTTGCTTTGGGAGGACAATAATTAGGGCTTCACGCATTGCTGCTGGTAGCATGGCGGATTCAAAGATACCATTTATATAATGTAAGCAGGTGTGGCAAGATACATTCAGAGTATGTGGCATAGAATTTGAGTGGTAGCCCATCAGAACCAGGACCCTTCACAGAGGTCATTTGGGACACTGCCACTGCAATCTCATCCACTGGGAGAGGGGCTTCCAACATTTCCTCCTGGTCTGGTGTTAACTTGGGGAAGTGTAATGATGTAAGGTATGCTCTCGTGGCCTCTGTAGAGTGGTGCACCTGGGAAGGATGTAATTTAGAGAAGAACTCTCTGAATTCTGTGGTGACTAAATGAGGGTCAGTAATGAGGGCCCCGTCCTGGGTACGTAAGGATACCATCACCGGGGAGTCTTGGTGGACCAGATATGCCAGTAATTTTCCTTCCCTTTCTCCATGTTCAAAAACACATTGTTTGCTAAAAAAAGAGGTGTTGTTTGGCCTGTTCAAGATGTAGCTGGTCAACCAAGCATGTATGTGACTTTAATTCTGCCACTGTGGGTGGTGGAGGGGCTTGTGCAAATGACTCTTCCAGTTGTGCCTGGGTGGGCCGCAGCGGTGTTAAGTACCTGTTTAGAGGTACGCTTCAGGCCGGAAATACGAAGAGTAAGCAATGTCCCTGGTGTGGAGCTTGAATGCTTCCCACACGGCTCTGAAGAGGGCAGTTGAGGCATTAGTAATAAAAAAAATATTGCCATTCCTGGGATAACTCTTCTGAGTCTGCCAAGGAAAGAAGCAGGGTTCAGGAAAGAAAGGTAAAATCTGTGCGGGAATGGGTGGTAGAAAAGCAGGAGTAGACCTAGTGGGAGTGATATTTAAAGGACAACGACTCTACTAACTTGAAATCTGTGAGAATTTGGTACGCTACTCAAACATAACTGGCCCATCATAAATAAAAGCAAATATATGGTAAAGACCTGACTGGGCACTTCCCTAAAGGTGAACAAGTGAGCAATACCTTCAATAGACGTTGCACATAAATCAATAACCCAACCTACAGTGACAGTGGAAAAAGTAAAAGCCCAGCTGAGCACCTCATCAAAACATAAATTGACTACTAAAGGGTACTCCTCAAATCATCAGTGAATAGGAAAACAATTACATTAATAATAAAAAAAAACATACTCCATTACTGATAAACACCTGGCCGAGCTTCCACCTGAATGGGAACGGTAGTGAAAATAATAAATAGTGCTTGGATTCAGCATGAAATAATTACTATAAATTGTAAAATAAGCTATCACCCCGCTGAGCAATCTGCATAAAATCAAATAAGTACAAAAAAAATATATAACGGTGTACAGTCCCAATAGCGTATAATGTGCCACAAAATTCTTTAATATTCAATCAATCTTCCAGTGAGCACCACTTGTGCAACTCCACCAGCTAGCATGCGCGTTCACCTCTAACTCTGACCTGTGAGTAAAATAGGTCATAAACGCTTTTAGATCAACTTTTACCAGCATCTTCCTTGAATGTCACCTCCTCCTTTAATGCTTTAAAACAACTCCTCTGTTGTGAACCATATTCAACAGAATAAATCACAAGGGGCTTCCCATAGTGTACTAAGTTCTTGCTTTAACCACTTCCTGTCCGGACACTTTTACCCCCTTCCTGTCCAGGGCAATTTTCAGCTTTGTATCACACTTTGAATTCTTGTCATGCAACACTGTACCCATATGAATTTTTTACCATTTTTTTGAGACAGATAAAGCAGATATTTAACCGCTGGGATTTTAATTTTTTTTACTATGTAAATGAAAAAGTCCAAAAATTTTGAAAAAAAGTGGGCCAAAATTTATTCGTTATTTTTTTAG